CTGACCGGAAGTTCCGGTATCGGAGAATTTGGGCGAGTACTCGCCCAAATACTTGGTATTGGCACTGATATCGATAATAGTTTCGGTATCACTGCATCCCTACTAAAAACTACCCCTTCTACCCTAACCACGACTTGATATATAATATAGAGTATACCAATAGTATTCTTATGACTCAGGAAGTCAGTCCATAATAAATATTCCTAATGGTAAAATCTCCTCATTGAAAACTGTATCACATTGCTGATAGTATAGACTTGTCCTTGAAATCCAGCAGCTACATCCCCTCCATATGTGTTAAAACATCCTCGGTTTGTTTGCTGTATCAAATGATTTCCACTTCATAAATAGACATGTCGATGTATCCAAAAACATCCAAACGATCATTTGGATTGATCCATCAAATAGTGATAATACTCAAATGTAGTGAAAAGCATGGATATTGCAGAAATATCACGCTACTTTTCCAATATTATTGGTATACTCTATATTACATATCAAGCCGTGGTTAGGGTAGAAGGGGTAGTTTTTATTATTTTAAATGTTTGTTTTTATATTTATGTAATGTGATAAATTAAAGGTTACAATAAAAATAATTGAACAGTAATATTGGATAGTTGTCCTATATTGGGATCTCTGTATGGGGAAAACAATATGACATTTGAGATATAAACTATAAGAGACCCATATAGGTTTATAAATTGACTATGGGTCGATGTAGCTGTCCCTTCTCCCCGCTGTTGAATCAGTAACACACTTCCTACCCCCGGGGTACTGTAACTCCACTCTATGGAGGAGCATCGGAGCAACCCTTGGACAGCAGCATTGTTACCCTGTAGAGAGAATTTAGCAGATTTAGTTGTACTTGTGTGCATGTATTTGTTTTTTTGCATAGGAGCCAGTAAAGCATTGTAAACGCCATCAGTAGTTTTTAAATGCAATGCTGGGGCTCCTTCAGACTGTTCCTCCTGTCCATGTCTGTACCAAGGTACAAACATGCAGTAACATGGAAGGAAGTATCAATGAACAACAAGGGGGATGATGTCACCACACTTGTATTCCATTGAAACTACAAGTGCTTCTGCCGCAGTGGTTTCTCCATTCACAGATCCTGTCAAAGAAACTGTAAATGGATGACGCGGCTGTGTAAGTGGAGCCATGCACGGTCATGCCGAATTCAAAAAGTGAAACAAGCCTGTTGTGAGAAGAACACCGTGATTTAGGTAAGGGGGGGAGGGGGTTTGGGAAATTTTGTGATGTGACCATCTTTTATGTTACACCAGAGGCGTAGCTACAAACCTCAGGGCTCCGGTGCAAGAAACCATAAAGGGCCCCCCACCACTACCACAGGGGGGGGGGGGAGACGAGGAGAGTTGGCATGCTGCATGCTGGGAGCTATAGTCCTAGGAGGCAAAGTCAGTGCCTCTGTAGTTCATGTAGTAGTTCTTCCTCCTGTCCGGGCCCCCCTAAGTGGTGGAACTACCAAAGTCACAGCTGCGACTGGGCCCTGGCGTTCTGCCACTTGAGGGGGTCCAGACAGGCGAAAGAAGGCCTGTTAACCACCAAGGTGCCAGCATTGCCTCCTGGGACTACAGCTCCCAGCAGGCTGACGCTCTGCAGCTCTTTCCCACAGTGGTTAGTATGGGGGGTAGTGTACGGGTGTAGGTGGGGTCGTTTGCGTGGGGGGGTCATACCACAGACATCTGTCTATTATAGATGGAGGGGTTGGGGGATGCTCAGTGGGTAGAACACATAGTATGGAGGGGGACACAGACATCGGTAAGTGATGGAGGGGGAATAAGTATAATATAGTTGATACCCTCGGTACCTGCAACTCTCCATCCTCTGGTTCTCTGTCTCTCTAGCCTGCTGATTACTGCACCTCTCTCTCCAGATGCTACGGTGCCTGGACCTCCATTTGGTATCTTGCAGCTCCCTAGCCACGTTGCCTGCTGGGAAATTTAGTACTCTGGCCAGCAGCACACTCGCCCCTCCATCAACACTGCAGGCGGCATGTCTCTCGTATGTTTTTAAAATCAAACTGCAAGTCTTCTGCGTGCAGACCAATGAGCGGCGAACTGAGGTGAGTGTTGGCCAATGAGCAGCGGCCTGGAATTGGAGCGGGTGACGTCACGGCCATGTTAGTGCCTTGCAGTATGTGAACGTTCCATCGGTGTTCGGTGTTACGGCGGGCAGCATCCAGGGTTTACCCCGAGCCTTCCTGCACAGAACTGCCTCTTCTTCCTCTCTGGTTGGGGGCCCCCAACTGGCGGAAAACGCCAGGGCCCGGTCAAAAATGTGACCACTGGTAGTTTCTCCAGTATGTTACACCCTAAATATAGATGTAACATGAAAGATAGTCAGAAAGGTGGCCTTAAAGTGACATTAAACCCTCAGATTTTTTAACATAAACCCAGGGGCGTACCGTGTTTCCCCGAAAGTAAGACCTACCCCGAACTAGGTCTTATTTTCGGGGAAACACGGTATCTGCCTTGGGCGGCAGATTCCAGGTGGGCAGCAAAAATGCCACCCCAAAACATTTAGGCAGCCAGGCTGCACAGAAACCAACAGCCTGGCTGCCTAAATGTTTTGGGGTGGCATTTTTGCTGCCCACCTGGAATCTGCCGCCCAAGGCAGATACCGTGTTTCCCCGAAAGTAAGACCTACCCCGAACTAGGTCTTATTTTCGGGGAAACACGGTATCTGCCTTGGGCGGCAGATTCCAGGTGGGCAGCAAAAATGCCACCCCAAAACATTTAGGCAGCCAGGCTGCACAGAAACCAACAGCCTGGCTGCCTAAATGTTTTGGGGTGGCATTTTTGCTGCCCACCTGGAATCTGCCGCCCAAGGCAGATACCGTGTTTCCCCGAAAGTAAGACCTACCCCGAACTAGGTCTTATTTTCGGGGAAACACGGTATCTGCCTTGGGCGGCAGATTCCAGGTGGGCAGCAAAAATGCCACCCCAAAACATTTAGGCAGCCAGGCTGCACAGAAACCAACAGCCTGGCTGCCTAAATGTTTTGGGGTGGCATTTTTGCTGCCCACCTGGAATCTGCCGCCCAAGGCAGATACCGTGTTTCCCCGAAAGTAAGACCTACCCCGAAAATAAGACCTAGTGTCTTTTTTCGTGGAAAAAAAAAAATAAGACACTGTCTTATTTTCGGGGAAACACGGTATCTGCCTTGGGCGGCAGATTCCAGGTGGGCAGCAAAAATGCCACCCCAAAACATTTAGGCAGCCAGGCTGCACAGAAACCAACAGCCTGGCTGCCTAATGTCAACGGGGACGGCGGCGGCAAGTTGCGGGCAGGGGAGTAGGAGGAGACGGGGACGGAGCAGCAGGAGGCAGCGGGTGACGATAGAGGAGATGGGGGCGGAGCTGCAAGAGTCACTGTGAAGACGGAGGATATGTACTGGCAGGGGGCGGAGAAGGGGCGGAGATGGAAGAGGCGGGGCCGAAGAATACAACGTAGGAGGCAAGAGAAGAGACCGTGATGGAGGAGGCGTCGCCAAGGCTCAGGCAGGGTTTACCGTGCCAGGTAGGAGGACGACTGTCCCACCAAAGAGTCGCAGGTGGGCTGTGCAATACCTTTTGGTGGGCTTTGCATGATCTGTGGGGGGTTTTGAAGGATCCACAGGGGGCTCTGCAAAGCCCACCACACATCTTGCACAACCCCCCTGAGATCCAGCAGACTGCAGTGTCTCAGGGGGTCTCTGCAGGATATGTCGGGGGCTTTGCAGGATCCATAGGGGGCTCTGCAGCCTGCAAAGCCCACAACAGATCTTGCACAGCCCCCCGGAGATCCAGCAGACTGAAAGGTCTCAGGGGGTCTCTGCAGGATCTGAGGGTAGCTTTGCTGGATCCGTAGGGGGCTCTGCAGCCTGCAAAGCCCACCACAGATCATGCAAAGCCCCCCGAGATCTTGCAGGGTCTCAGCATGATCTGTGGGGGACTTTGCAGGATCCATAGGGGGCTCTGCAGCCTGCAAAGCCCACCACAGATCCTGCACAGCCCCCCTGAGATCTGGCAGACTGCCAGGTCTCAGGAGGGCTTTGCAGGGCCTCAGGGGGGCTGTGCAGGATCTGTGGGGGGCTCTGCAGGGTCTCAGGAGGGCTGTGCAAGATCTATTGTGGGCTCTGCCCACCATAGACCTCAAAGAGCTCACCACAGATCCTGCAAAGCCCCCCTGAGACCACAGCTTTCCTGCTATGCTAATAGCAGAACATGTCAAAAGCTAGATACAGGAAGGGGTGGGCTAAATTTAGGAGGGGCGAATTTTGTCTTGCCTAGGGCAGCCTTAAACCAGAATACACCACTGCATAAACCAATACTGTAATGTGTGCCTTACTGTAATCCATGGTAGTTTCCCTTCTTTTTGCTGCTCTTCCTTTTAAATTCTTATCTCTTCTCATGCTCAGGTATTTCTTTTTTTAATCAGTCCCCATAGACAAAAAAAAGCAGTTAACACTTGCAGTGCACGGGTAGCCCTACTGCAAGGGTTAACTTTTAAAATTCCTGGAGTTCCTTTCTCAGCAGTTACAGCAACAGTTTTGTTTTATCTTTTGGAATCGAGATTTGACATAAATAAGTCAAAGATGACCATGGTAAGCACCCCTGTTAGTGTGAAATGGTTTGTCCGAATCCTCTATTTGTCAACTTTGCTGGACAGCTCGGCCTGTTAAAGGAAGCAGATAAATTACTGACCTTCTTGCTGGATCTCCAGGTGGAAATAAAAGAAAAAAAGCCAAAAAAGAAAACAAATGCAGCTGCCACATCTAAAGACTGGGAAGCTACAATATAAAATATTTTTGCTTTTGGGTTTCAATACGCTTTAAGTTAACTTATTAAATTGCCATGGCCTATGTTCCCTCTCTGATTATTATTCACCATTCTAACTGTGATTCCTGGCAGTGCTATTTTTCCTCCACCCTCCCTTTTGTAACTGCTGTTCCATGAAATTGCCCCCCCCCCCACTGATCTTTAGCGGTGTGTGTTTGTGTATCTTTTCCCCTGAAAGCCTCCATTCCTACAGATCTACTCTTCCTGCAAGGTCTTCCCACCAGCTGTTCTCTACTTCTGCCACCTCCCTCATCTGTCCATCTGGCTGTTCTCTGCAGCTGCCTCTCCTGTTATCTGCTCGCTGTCCATTGCTGTGGTGCTGAAACATATCTGGCTACTAACACGCCCGACAGTTGATCTTGGATTGGGCGATCAAGGTAACCGCTAATGTCTCATTGTGTCATTCACCGTCCCTGCATTGTATTATCACATCCTGCCCTTTGTGTAGAATGATGCTGCTCTGTGTTGCCCAGCCTCTATCCATCCAACCAAGTATACACATCCAGCCAAGTACATTGTGATTAAAAGACATCGAAGCCTGCATGCAATAATGTAAGCTGAGTGACACCGTGACTCCTGTATCTATGTATTGTGTTTTTCTTCATTTAGATGTAGCTATTTATTCTTTTGCTTCTGGTGTTAGGTTACTTCAAGCACCAGTCATGGGCTCCCTGTACCCTCCTCCTTGTTTCCAACAGGAATGATCTCTTACTTTCACTAAGCCAGGCAGGATTAATCAAACATCTGGCGGAGGTGCTAAAATGGGTATGGGATTGAGGACACCCGTATCAGATATAGGAGGTGGACCATAAAGCGACAATGTATTTTATGAATAAACAAGTCGGATTGGGTTAGTTTTATTACCTGCTGCTCACTGATGTAAAACCTATGTCATGTCTTGATTTAACCTTTTTTTATTCTTCACCCAGTTAACTTAATAATCAGTTCTTGCTTTTTGTTTTATTTAATTAGCCCATTATCATTTATATTTAATATGAATATATTATAATTATGAAAATGTATTTGCAGAGTATAATCTTTAATAGAACTTATTGGCTAATTAGAGTTTCATTAATCCATGCTTGAGTGTAACACCTTTCTGACAAATGACTTTCTCAGATATGTCAGCAAAATAATCACTTTTATTAAACAGTATTCATTGCTTATGTTGCTCAGTATGAAAGGTTCAGTTATTTTAATTCATGTGGAGAAACTGGAGGCACGGGGGACTTCATTTGTCAAGGTGTCAATGCTAAGAACTCACAGCCACTAAGCAAATGCATACAGTGACTGGAATCTGGAAGTTTGCATCTAATTTATGGATGTTGGGGCATAACACAGTTCCTAGTTGGACACTTTGATACATTAGGTGCATCAATTGTTGGCAACTGGAGACAGATGTAGGCATACACTTGAAGGTAAACATTTCCCATCAGAGGAGGTGCCAAACATTTCTACAGGCATAATTCAGATAATAAGAAGGATTTGCAATGTTAATTACATAATTACACTGCCAGCATCATCAGATTTGACGGAAAGGTAAAGTTATGCTTTAAAGTAAACTGTAACCTATTTTAAAGGTAAACGTTTTGCCAATGATCAGACGCCACAAGAAACCTACTATTATATGTTTTAATAGAAAAAAAAAATCCTCCGTGTGTCTCACTGAAACTAGTTTTAGTCTGAATTCCACCACTAGGCATCCACCAACTGCCATTTCCCTGTCCCATCAGAGTACCCTTTTTGGCCACTAATCGGGGTATGTCAGAGGCAGGCTTTCTCACTAAAAATAGTTTATATAATGCAGATTAAAGTATAGACCATCGCAAAGGGGTGATGTTCATCCCCAAGTGTCCAAAGGCCTAATAGCCTTTAATAATCAGTCTACAGCAAGCGGGAAACCACTTTATTAATATTTCCACCCTTTACAAATAGTTCTCATATTGATGCATACGTGCTGGTATCAGATAGCAGTACTACAGGGCTGCAACCAATGAATATTTTCATAATCGATTAGTTGGCCGATTATTTGTTCGATTAATCGGATGGGAAAAAAATAAATATCATCCTGAATTTAAAATACACAAATGCAGTGTTACACACATAAAGTTTACTTCAGAAGAAAACTGCATGCACAATTTTTTGCAATCACAATGCGCTGGAACGCAAAACACGGTATCGTGTGTTCCAGTGCGGGCTATCACACTGTGGGTGGGAGGCACGTTTAGGGTGCCGCTGAAATAAATGGCAATGCAACACACCTCCTGTAGCAGAAATCGTCAGGCCAAAACCGAAAATGCTTTTTTTCCCACCTTTTATAAAAAAATTGAATGAGTTGTATTGTAAACACATGGCACTTGAATAGCTTCATCCAGGTAATGACAGCTGCCAGTGGCAAGATTCCGCAGATGGCAGCTGAATGTAAATACAGCAGTTAGTGGGCTGGTGCAATAGCCAGCCTGCTATTGGCCATTTCATATTGCAACATATTGCCCTCCTTTCAACATAAAGGCGAGACCTAGGGGATCCAACCAACTAATCGATAATGAGATTAGTTGACAACTATTCTAATTATTGATTATTATCGATTAATCGATAATTTGGTAGCAGCCCCACTGTACTATATATTGTACATGTTACTGGAGCCCTTTTAATTGGGCCTTGTGTCTGGTGATGGTCATGGCCATGGCTTGTGAGCAGGTATAGTGATACATATTCAGCAGTCTCTGTGACATGAATAGCAAATCTACAGGGGTGCAAAATCCGCTTGAAGCTGGTCCAATACAGGTCAGAAAGGGGTCAACTGCAAGTCAAATGCATCTGTCAATGAGCTCTGAATAATCTCAGAACCATCTCAAACTGATGTCATAGTGATGCCATCAACACAGTAACAATATTCTTTATGAGTCAATATGGGGATAATGATTTAGGTGTTTTTAACTGCACTGCTGTTTTCCCTGGCAACTTGGTCCCCAGTAGTGTACTGACTAGTCTAGTAGTTTGTCATTTTTTTATTTTTTTTTTCATAATCAAATTTAGTAAAATTGTCATTTTAAGTTGGTTTTGTTATGTAATGTTGCAGATGTTTCGTAGCTTATCCAAGTCACTTCTTTAGTTCTGATGAGGGTCAGGAACATACCCCAGCACGTATATCCATACAGATAACACAGACACTTCAATTCAATCACCATGGAAAGGCAGATGTTGACTGTATAAGAACAGGATTGGAGGTGTGAAGGTTGTGGAACCACGCTCTTCTAGTTACATAATCCCATCCTTGGTGTTAGAAAGTCTGCATATGTGTTAATCCTTTGATTTATATGGCTGAGGGTGCCAACTTTTGCAAAATAGCAGGGTAGAGATGATACATTAAGACGGCATTATATGTGGGAGACAGATGGTGTTCTTTTCTGAAGGTTGAAAAAGGGAGAAAAAAATGCATTGTGTCAGACAGCCCCAGCTGGTTAAGGGTATGGCCCAGGATGGGGTGCATGTGTCACTAAAAATCTTACGTTTTAAGGTAGATGGGATAGCTCCCTGCAGTCTGGCCGTTGCACAGTAATTAGGTGAGTTAATGACTAGACATCTGGTAAAATTGATGAAATGATTGATAAAATTGACTGATGAGAAGCTGTTTTCTATCGGCTGGCACCTGCCAGAGTCTTCTAGCAGGTCCCGGCCAACAAATAACAACGGTGCGGACTTCACGCCTGGCTCTGCCAAGTTGTTATTGTTTAATGACAGATCAGCGTCCCCAGGTCATTTGAGGACGCTGATCTGTCATTACAACTGCATGGCAAAAGGTCAGCCGAAGCCGACCGATCTCCACGCAAATGACAGCTGGGCGGAGCCAGCCATGACCTCACGGCTGGCTCCGCCCAGCTGTCATTTGCTTGGAGATCGGTCGGCTTCGGCAGACCTTTCAGCTGGATCCTTTGGCTCATATGTGAATAACCCTCATAGATATTCAAAACACAAAATTATTGGTTGCTCTGCTCTGTGAGATGGTTACACCCAGCAGCAGGCAGATAAAAACAATAAAAGAGTGCATAGGAGAAACCAAATGAGCACAGACTATCAAATCAGGATTAGACGGACTACAGTCTGACAACAGCTAAATTTAAATAGTCACTCCTGCTTAAGGCAGGGTGGCTACACTTAACATATTTAAGACTTGTTATCACAGAGGTGCCGTGCTGTGATATTTTAGAGTACTCCAAATGTAGTATGTTTGCTAAAACTAATTAGCAGGAACTTCTGCACTTAAATTGAGAAATATAAACAAGCAGTCCTTTATTATATTTGGGCCACATGGAGGAGCTTCCTTTAAATCTACTTGAGTTATGTACCTAATATATTTCACCCAGGCAGGATTATTTGTTAAAGTGGACTTTTACCCCCTTTGAATCACATCAGCATACAGCTCTGCATGCTGATATGAAAATCATCTTATATTCATTAGCTAAAGAAACATATTTTTACTTTACTTACCATTTCTTTTTTTCCACCTCCTGGTCCATTTTGGCACAAATTATGTAATTTTGCCCAAGCATTGCATCCTGAGAAGGTTACATCAGCAGAGCATTTCTGGGAAATCTCATCTTTGATCTCATGAGATCTCAGGGAAAGATATTTGAGATGATGTGCATGGTCACATGTCTTATTCACATGTGCCAGAGTTCAAGGAAGTAAAGGGAGATCTAGTAACCTGCCCTTAGTAAAAATGGCCACTATCAGAAGACTGGGGGAAAAAAAATAAGGTATGCAAAGAATAAAAAGCCGGCAATTATCTATAAGTTTGTGTTTGTAGATTGTTATTACTAGGGACGTCCCAATGCCACTTTTTTAAGACCAAGTACAAGTACAACTGCTGTTCCTCAGGTACTTGCCGCAGTGGCAGAACTACCGCCGGTGCAGCAGGTGCCGGCGCACCGGAGCCTGAGGCTGTGGGGGGGCCCAATGGGGTCCGGTAAACAGGAATGCTTCACCTATTGGCGGTCACATGGCCGGTACCCATGTGAGGGGTCTGGGGGGCCTCTTACATGGGTATCGACTGTACCGGGGCGGCATGGCAGAGGTGACAGGGGAGGGGGTGGAGGAGGCAGGGCCCCAGCAGCAGCAGGTAAGAAGAGTTGGGATGAGGTACAGGGAAAGGGATCCCGACGACCAGCCCAGCCCACCCTGCAGAGCCCACCATAGAGAGTCTCAGATGGGCTATGCAGGATCTATGATGTGCTCTGCAGGGTCTCAGGTAAGTCCAGCACGCTACTGCAACATTAGAGATCGCTGGGGGGTGGGGCGGGGGCCAGTGTGATCCGCTCCCGTGCCACCCTCCCCCCACCCCCCGTCTTGGGAGGGGAGCCCAAGATAAAATCTTGCACCAGGGCCCTTTTAGGCTATTAGGTCCGCCACTAACTTGCCGATACCAATTACCTATACTTTTTCTTAAAGGGACATGTGACATTTTTTCTAACAGACTGATGATTTTAGGGCAGTTTCTCAGCAGAGCTAAATAAAGATGTTGGCAGAAATAAATACATGTCCCCACAGCAGAATACAAGTCCATATCTCCACAGCAGAATACAAGTCCATATCTCCACAGCAGCATACAAGTCCATGTCCCCACAGCAGCATACAAGTCCATGTCCCCACAGCAGCATACAAGTCCATGTCCCCACAGCAGCATACAAGTCCATGTCCCCACACCAAAATTATTCTCATCAGGCTGTGTGCTGATCTCTCCCGGGCGACATGTCAATCTCTGCAGGGCTCTGCGGGCAGTTGCCATGCTGTGGAGTGTCCCGATGTCTGGGGGTGTACTGTGCTGTGTGTGGGCTGTCCATGGTGTAACACCTGCACCGGAAGGAGGATGAGGACATATACAACTGGACAGGCACTGCCATGGGCAGCTACGTGCAGGTCCCCAGCAGGCTGCTGAGGTCCCCGCAAGCACGGGAACTCGGACGGCAGCTGCAATTTCAAAATTTAAAGGGACGGTATCGGCCCTAAGAATCAGGGCATTTTCATGAGTACAAGTACTCGTGAAAATGCCTGGTAACAGCCCTGATACCGTTACTAGTATCGGTATCGGGACATCCCTAGTCATTACTAAACATTTCTAAAGGTGCCCTTGTTGGTATTTTGAAGATATGGGCAAAGTTCCACTTTAACCCTCCCCTCAATAAGACAAAATTAGTTTCAGCCAACAGATTCCAAGAACAGCTGGTACAAGGTGCCGCGCGTTCTTCACAAGATGAACTCAGTTATTCCTGACGTCTGCTGGAGATGTGGCGCCACGGGGGGCACTATGCTCCATATTTTCTGGAGCTGCCCCTCCCTGTCCAGATTCTGGACAGAAGTGGGTAACATTATCAATACCCTGATTACTCCGGAGCTGGATCCGTCGGTGTTCTTACTGCACATGACCAGGCTCACACGATGCCAATACAGAACATCCCTGTCTGTTCTTCTACTCAATGCCGCAAAGGCCTGCATCCCAGCACTCTGGAGATCGACCCAAGCCCCGTCCTTGCGCCTATGGCTCACAAAGGTCAAATTCTGTATTCTACTTTAAATATGTGTTAAGAAAGGGGGGCCTTTCCCACAGCACGTATATTGTGAAATGTAAGGCGACCAACACATACGTACGAAACATGTTATGCAATGTCTTTGACCAGTGGCAGATATGTTGTTCTCTCTGCAGGATCATATTATATTACTGTGCCACTGAGTCTTGATATAACCCAATCTGTCTGATTTTATGCTACATTATTTGATGTGCTTGTTCATTCATTGTAAATGAGTATTCACTGACTGCCTGCGTGCAGTCCTTTGGGATAAGTTTGAATGTCAGATTATTACTCTGTTAAACAAACGTTGATTTAAAAAAAAAAAAAAATTAGTTTCAGTAATACCTGTGAAATGAAACAAAAAATAATAGCTGGGCAAGAAAGGCAGACAATTAAAATTGTCCCCCTACCTTTTGATACTTGCAGTCTGGGGCAATTTCCTGATATTTGAACGCACATGATAAAATCTAAATTTTTGGCTCGAAAACAGCTTAAGACTCCAAACAATTATATATTTTCTGAAAGCAGAAGCCCTGTAGAATAGAAAAAAAGGTAGTTGCAAATTTTTATGTTGCAAGGTATTTGTGAAAATGTTTATCAAACCAGTATTTTTAGGATAACATACACTAAAATGAAATGTAGTACACAGAAACAGAATATAATACCCATTTTTTTGGTAAAATATAAAAGATGGGGGTCACAAAAATAGATACCAAACATGTCAAGCCTTAAAATGGTGTTCCCCCGCGAAACCACAAAAAACTACAATATCCAAAACCACAAACTACAATAACCCAAATTTCAACAGTGATTGATGGCCCTAGAATTATTGCTCTCACTCCGACAATCGCGGCGATGTGTAACATGTGTGGCACAATTTTAGTTTTTACACGTAGATGCACCTGAGGCTTGTTTGCGCTTGTATGTGCGTGTATGTGGGAGCTGGGGACTTTAAACATTTTTTTTTGCATTTTTTTTTATATGTCACTTTAATTTATTTTATTACACTTAACTTTATTGCTATCACATGGGAGCTAACAAGCTCCCTATGTAATAGCAAATATGATGTGACATGTCCTCTTTATGGAGACATCAGGGGTCTGCAGACCCCTAATAGGCTGTTTAAAACAATACCAGGAACATAGCTGCAGTAGCAGCCACCATGTTCTTGGTATAACTGCTTTAGGACCAGGACGTTTTTTTACGGTGGGCAGTCCTGAAGCAGTTAAAGTCTCCCGCCCCACGAATGCACGCATACTAACGTAAACACAAGTCAGGTGCTCCTATGTACAAAAACAACGATTGCGCTACACATAACAGGTGCACCAATTAAAACTGTAATCGAAAATTACAACTGTCGTTTACAATAAGGCTGTTAACAATAAGGCAGACCCTCACCTAGTATTATGGAGGAAAAAGCTGTCAGCTTCAAGTCTGAAGCTGACAGCTTTTTCTTCATTCAGATCGACTTCTATCAGGCTACACAGCAGGGAAGGCCTCCCTGCTGTATAACCTGTCATGGACGGAGCGCTGCCTGTTAATTACAGGCAGTGCTGCATCCGGCTTTTGACAGATAGTTAGGTTACACAGCAGCGGGCTTCCCCATTGCTTGTGTAAGCTAACTATTGAGGCAAGAGCTGTCACACCCTCTACTCTTTGTTAGAGGCGTGAGCTCTGAATGCCTCACCCGGAACCAGAGGTACCGCACGTCACTGATCTGTCTAGATATCACTAGAATCAGTGGTCTGCATGACAACTACTCTATGTACTGTAAGAGTACAATAAAGAGAAAAAAATAAGATACAAAATTATGCTTTTTTTACAGCAATTTATTTAGTGTTGGAGCAGCATAATTGCGATATATGGCCTGTTTCTTGTATGTAACATCATTTATGTAAATGTTGGTTCAGTTGAAAACACTAATCTGATTTTCTTTTCACCAGTTATGAAGATGGCTGAACCAACAGAGGATCCAGGTGGCGAGGAAGTCTCGAGGGGGGCACCTGTGAGACAGAGAGAGCACTCTCCCATGTTGCACCTGGATCTTTATAACTTTGAGTGCCCAGTAGCAGAGGGAAGTCGTTATGTGCTGACCAGTCCCCGATCTCTGGAGGCCTGTGCTCGATGTATGGTAAAGCCAGTAGAGCTATTATCAAGAAACCTTTCTGATTTGGTCAGAGAAGCTCCAGGGCGATCCATGCGGGTTGCTACTGGTCTTTGTGAAGTATATGAGATAGAAAGACAGAGAAAGCTGAAAATGTGCAGGGAAGAGAGGGAACGAATTATACGTCAAGAAAAGAGGAGAATTCTACCTTTGGTATTGAGCAGCAGTTTAAGTTCCCCATCAAGCTCAAAGGCATCCTCTCGAGCAGAACCTTCAGCACCTGCTGTGGGTAAAAGATATGACTCTCCTTCCAATACAGGTACACAGAGGAGCAATACACCACTCTCTAGTTCTGAAAGATCTAAATCCCTTCCTTCTAAAAGCACCCAAAGATCCATGCCACCACCTTCCAAAAAGCAACATATACCAGTATCCAAGACTAAAAAATGCAGTACCACCCAGTCAAAAGAATACCATGGCAGTGGTGACTCAGTCACTAAGGAGCCCTCAAGAAAGAGTAAAAGTCAATCTCTGGACTCACTTCAGAAAATGAGAGATGGTTCCTCAGGTAGAACTTCTTCAGAGTCCATAACCTCATCTTTTAGCGGTGATAGCCTCAGAGGCAGAACCACACAGTTCATACCAAAATCCAGGACACTTGATGCAGTTAATTCTCTGCTAGGTAGAAGTTTCAGTCTGGGGGATCTTAGTCACTCACCACAAACCACAAAGAAGGTTGAGAAGATGGTTAAAGAAGTGAAGAAAAAAGGCATCCATGAATTGCCTCAACGAGACAAAAAGATTGCAGCAATCATGATTGCTAGACACGAGGAAGAAAACATTAGAAATGAGCAGAGCTACTGGGCACACCTACAGTGGGACACCCAGAGAAGAACATCAGGCTTCCAAAAGGAGCAAGAGGAAAGACAAAGGCAAAAAGCTATATTACAAGGGCAAAAGATGCTGGAGTCACAAATCAAGAGTAGACGTGGCAAAATCTCTATGGAGGAGCTTAATTCTGCAGCCATAAACCAAAGTAAGAGTCTGCTCCATGAAGCACATCTGAGGGAACAAGGTCCAGAGTTAGAAAAGCACAATAAAGAAGAGTCAGGTAAAAAGCAGGGTAAGCAAAAGAAGACCCACCAGGAACAAAGCTTGAAATCCAAAAATCTTAGTGATGAATTGTCTCAAGACAAGTTACTTATTGCTCAGCAAAAGAAACAAGAGGTATCGACACAGCTACAGGTTAATAAAATACTGCAAAACAAAATGGAGAAAATTAAGCACCAGGTACTTCTTCATGAAATAGCCCAAAAAGAGGAATCAGACCATGAGGAACTTAGAAGGACACTTGAAAGAAATCTCTACAGAGCACAAGAAAAGGTAGAGCAGTTACAAGAGAAAAAAAATCAAGAACTAAAGAGCAGGGCACAAAAGGAGGAAATGCAAACCCAAAGGGCTAGACAGGTAGCAGAACGTAAAGAAAGGGAGCGTTCAGATCATTTAAAAGAGCTAGCAGTGACTACTGAAAGGAGACTACAGCACGCTTCCCAAATAGCCGAGGAAGTTGTACAGCACAAAGCAAAGAAAGCTATAGAAAGCAGATTGGAAAAGGAGAAGATCCAGAGGGAGAATCGACAAAGGGTCCTGAAAAGTGAAGACATGAAGAGACAGGAGCTACTGATGTCCATAGAAAAGAAGCTTGAGCGCAGTGAACAAATATTCAGGGAGAAGCAGACTGTGCTAGACAATGCACGGTCAGTGGCCAGAGCTTCCTTTAATATCCGGGAGAGAGTGCGAGCTGAGACAAACATACGCACTTTTGATAAAATGGCTCTGGAAGCCGAACTATATGCGAACATTAACAAAAAATAATGGACCTGGTTGAATAGGTAAACATATCTATGCTAGCAGCTCTTGATTCATTATCCAGGGTATATTTGACCTCTGCTACCTGCACAGTGAAATGCAATGATAGGCATACTGTAAGTCAGTGATCATTCTTAGTCAATGCATTAGATGGAGATTCTCTGGTATGCAGTTCACAGGCCTGGATTTAGCATTAGATAATCTATGACTGTTTTGAAGGGTGGCAGAGGTTAAAGGTCAGCTTTCTCCCTGCCAAGCTTTTATGTCAACCAATGTTGTCTGTTTGGTTGAGAAGATACAATCATGGGGAGATACTGTATTGAACTGTGCTGTGAACTACATGATATGCAGCATAAATTTGAATGCTAATGAATGTTTTCTGTAAAAAGCCTGCCATGTAGATGAACCCAGAGAGGGCATTGGATGTTATCAGTCCATAGGTTTCAAATCTGGATCTAGTTGTCCACACAGTTGTTATACAGCTGAGTAAGATTGTGTAGAAAAATAAATTATTTGTGTTGCTGTTGGAGATTTTCCCTCATTTACTGTTGGATGAAAAGTCACTATGATTGTAAGTGAGGGGAAATCTTTCTAAAAGAGTGCCAGATAGCAGGAAAAGCTCGACAGGAGTCCTTTTATGGCATTCAACCAAAAACTACAAAAAAGTTTCAGCTGGACATTCCCGTTAGAACATATCTATAGACAAAACATTTTGTACTTAATTTTGGATAGAGTGGGAAAAAGTTAGAACTTCTGTCAGGTTTTTACTGCCGTCAGAGGCTCAGTTGGAGAAATGTCTTTGCTTCCTGTATGGTAAAAAGTTTGTCCCCCAGACAGGAAATGAGGGGAAATTCCTCTAACAGCAATACAAACAGACGTAACATCTCTTTTTAATGTGACAGTTAACTCAGGAGTGCGCTGTAAAGTAGCCACCGCTGCCAGCTTGCTCCCGTGATGGACTACAATTAGATTTCTAATTTGTATTGAGACTGAAGTCCATCAAAGGAGTGAGTGTGGAGTGGTGGCTACTTTACAACACACAAAGGGACCATGGGGAACAAAAGTAGCCACCTTTCAGAAGGAAGGACAGTGTCAGCACCAATTCAGATATGATTTGCGGATCTACAGCTGAGTAATGCACAAATAAGATACATTTTTGTTAATAGTTAGGGTACTTATGCATTTTCCAGGATTAACTCCTGAGTTCAGTGTCACTTCAAGTAAAGTAGGGGAATGCTAGGAACTCTGGCAGATTTTTATTGTTTCCTGTTGAGAGAGATTTTCTCTCTCTTCCTGTGCGGTAAGGGGTTGTCTCCAGAACAGGAAGTAAGGGACAATCTCTCAAATGGAGCCCAGGATAAAAGTAAAATCTGACATGGGTTCTAACTTTTGCCTATTCTATCAAAAACTAAAAAAAAAAAAGTTTTTGGTGTGGTTACAATTTAAAGAACAACTCCGGGAAATTTTTTATTAACCCTTGCAGTGGGGCTAACCCTGCACTGCAAGGATTAACTGCTCATTTTCGTCTAGGGACTAAAATAAAAAAAGTTACACCCACCTGAACCTTAAAGCCGGTTGGCTGTCACAGGGCTCCTTCTAACCTCTTTTCTCCTATGTTGCAGCGATGGTATGTCCCTCAATGTCCTCACGTCCAATACACAATGTATTTTGACTTGATGACTCGAGGATAGTTAGAGCGCTGTAGCAGAAGTTGAAAAAGCACTTAACCCTTGCAGTGTGGGGGTAGCCCCACTGCAAAGGTTAATAAAAATAGTGCCAAGAGTCTGCTTTACGAATCATGAAAGGGCTGTCAATTTAAACTATGGGGTTAGGGCTTTTCCCCATAGTTCTCCTTAGGGTAACGGGAGGGTAACGGGAGGACACAAACTAGCGTCCTCCCGTCACCCTATTCTCAGTATACCGCGAGCTTCAGCTCGCGGTATACTGAGACGCCGCAGCTGAAGCGGATACTGACAATTATTTCTGGATCCGCCCAGCTGTGTGAGTGACAGCTGGCCCGCCCCCTCCCCGTCCGTTCCGCCAGTCAGCGCCGGAGGATCGGAGCGGGGAGGGGGGAATCCAGCCGTGACAGGATCGAGAAGTGAGCGAACGCCGGTATGTGTTCGCTCACTTCCCGATCTATTGAGACGACCTGTGACAGTCTCATTGTGACAGGTCGGCTAGAAATATGTGGTGAATGAAAAGCACTCACCTCATAGTTCTCCTTTAATGTAAATCAGGTCATCTTGATTTGGATCTTTATGGAAAATATATCAAGCAATGATATCTGAGCATAACACAGTTCACAAGTGATCGGTTAGAAACTAGTAGTATTCAGTATGATACACCTGATGTTACTTGGTTGCCAGGATTTGGAGCAGATAGGCAAACAGAAAACCAATGTAAAAGTTTTTGCTGCAATAGCAATCAACTACAAGCCCAAGAAGCAAAAAAACTAGCAAACACATTTTCCTGCAAAAAGTGGAAGGGTCCTTTCAAATGGGCGGAGTCTATTCCGCTTCCACTCCAAGCACAAATCCCTGCTACAGTATATTCGAACGGAGCAGATGTCACTTCATCTTGTGATGGAGGAAAGCTTAGTAACGGCCCCATCTTATGTCTATGGGCAGGCAGATATAGATGGATGTGCTTCCATTTATATCCTTTTACTTTTAATGCACCACGTTTAGGTCCAAAAAAAATGGAAAAGGTTGCAAACCTTTTGTGTTTTGTGTTTTTTGGACCTGGGCGGAAGCACGTCCATTTACATCCACTGCCCTATAGGCTAACATTAAGCTTCAGATCAGATATGCCTGAAAAACTGAACAAGCAGATCTGACTGGAATGGCCGTGTAAAAGGAGAGTAACTGCCACCCAAACATTTTCTTTTGCTTGTTTTGGGTAGAGGGGAGAAAGCATAGAACCTCTGTTTTTAAAGCTGTCTTCATCTCTGTTGGGGAAATTTCCCTTCACTTTCTGTCTTGGTGACAACATTTGACAGTAAGTAAGATAAGCTTTATAATGGGTCCGCAGAGAACAAAATGTAACAGGGATTCTATCCTTGTTCCACTGTTTCCAAAACAAAGAATACTTTGACTTTGATTTTAACTTTGATAAAAGTAAATATAGAGTAAATAATATTTTGAATGTATGTAAACAATGATATTTATAGGGCCCATACATATCTATGCGTGGCAGTATCACAAGCAACGCATGTGAAGGCCCCATATACGTGTTAGTACGTTGCAGTGCCATACACTTTCAATGGCACTCTACTGCACTGAAGAAATGCACATGTGCTGCAGCGCACAGCGTGGTAGTGCAGAGGTGTCCCCAGGCTGACAACTAGAGAATTTGCCTACCATTTGACTACCCCTGGAATGTAAACAGCAGATAGAGCTTTCACATTTTCTGCCCAACAAATGATGTCAGACACTGTCCTGCACTCTGGCTAGGCTCCTCATACCTCCTTGATTACTGACATATGCTACCAAAGTGGCATTGTCTGACTGAATCCTGACCAGGTGCCCCATAGTAAAGTCGTGCAATGTAAAAGACAGAGTTTGATCGTATGCAACCTCCTGTTCATCAGAGCAGGGAAACTGAGCAATCAAGTCAAGGAGACTTTGGTGTTCCGGACATGTAACTGCCTCTTAGGAGGAAAACATTTAGACCCAGAACTCTCATACAATTGTGAATTGTCACCCATTTGCAAGAAAGCAATGCCTGAATTTGAAGCCAAAGCCTGTAAATCTTTTCCAGAGGAAGAAAAAAACGTGGCCTGATACTTGTCCAGGATCATTCTCAGATACTCCAGACAAAGAGATGGAATCAACGATGATTTTCCAAAATTCAAGATTTAAACAAACTCCTTCACAGCGCGCATGGTGATTGGAAGATTCATTTCCAGATCAGGCTTAGAATCTGCCTGATAAAAGGAAGTCGTCGAAGTACCGTATTTGCCGGCGTATAAGACGGGTTTCGAAACCTTAAAACATCAAAGCCTGTATTCATTAATACAAAGCCTGCCGTGATTGGCTTGGTGGATTTACCAGACTTTTGACTTTTATCTGAAGATCCTTAGGGGTGAGAAATATGTTTGTAAGGCTAAAAGGAAGCGCCTTGTTTAGGCCTAGGTTCCCTACCTTTCTTAAGCTGTAGTAAAAATGTACTCTTACTTCATGTGATATTTTTGATGATATCATCCAGTGTTGTCCCAAACACAAATGATCACCTTTAAAAGGTAAATCCGTAAGGGCTTTCTTAGGAGTCTGGTCATCTAACCATTATTTAAGCCACAATATATGACACAGAATAAACAGCCAAGAAAAAAACTCTGAAAATAAGAGGTCCAGAAGCCAGCAATGATCCACCAGTTCCATATAAACAAGAGAAGCATGTTTACTCTCCAGCCTCTGAGGCAAAAGTTTTGGCCATGTGAGCAAACGGGACGGTGGCCAAAACAGGAGGTAGAGCTATTACTCCCCACAGACCCCATTCAGCATATAAATAAAGGGCAGTATACTTATCTGTCAGTAGAACTATGCCAGAGCACTTACCTGTCAGGTGAAGTACTCTGGGGCACTATTTCCCAAACAGAAAGCCTCCCAACAAGATGGGGACTTTGTTAGCCTGGGGAAAAAACTGTGACAAACCAGCCCAGTGGCCAATTGGTCAAATGCATCTCCCTGTGAGATGTCTCACAGGCTGCCCAACATTTCCTCAGGGCTGTCGCAGCCCTCACCTCTTCTAGAAGTGTTGAATTACTCTTTGTACTGACCCAGCTCCTCTGCCCCTACCTTCACCTTCATAATGTACAATACTATATTACAAGATAACACTTGATTAAGAGCTCTGAGACTACTTGGGCTGCTGACATCACATCCAAGCAGTCTCATGGCTTTTGGATATCAACACAAGTGTGATGTCCGCAGGGGATCGCGGCATCTGTGTTCCAGCCTGGAACGCGGCGCCAGGAGGAGAGTCTCTACGGCTCCTCCGGCACAACGTGACATCATGCGTTCCAGCCTGGAACGCGGAAGTCATAGGCCGTCCGTGCGCTCCAATCGGAGGCAACAGCGGCCTATTTAGGCTGGGTTCACACCTAGGCGTATTGCAAAAGCGCTTCTGTTGCGCGTTTTTTTTTACCGCGATTCGCGGTAAAAAAGTCGCGCGACCGTCGCGTGATTCCAAAGGCTACTAGGCTGTATCTCAATGGAAAACG